AGTTTCAGAACCCTAGTTTCAGAACCCCAGTTTCAGAACCCTAGTTTCAAAATTCGACCGATTAGTTTCCGAATCCGGCTCTAACCTGTCCGCAGGTATCCTAACGGTAGTCCTTACGGTATTTTGCCAAATCTTCACTGTGCGTCCTCACTGTTGACCCACTTGTGCGTTACTGGTGTACCGGCCGGTTTTGGAGATTTGCCTCCAATGATGGGGCCATCTAAGGCCTAAGATGTGCTGCACTTGACAAGACGAGTGCGACACCACCCAGTGTAAAAACTATCAGCAAGCCGCCCTCCAGGTGATTTATGTCATGTCCAGCCGGGCTACTGATAACTTCCAACCTCCTGCCTGTTCAACGACAACAAAAACGGTTGAAAGGAACAGGGATGCGTGGTTTCACGGAGCTCGGAGAACTGCTTCAACTCAGGCACTGCGGAAGGAGCTGAGAGACGAGAGGTGTCGATTGCAGAACTTCTCCTACAAGCTCAAGGCCACTGAGGATGAGTGCCCTACATGAAGTAGTGCAAAAAAGGGTGAAACTGCTGGGAGATCATGTGTGGAGACAGATGTGAGAGATGAGACAGGTGAGCTCTAAGACGCGGGCAATGGTGCAGGGGGAAACGGCGTTCTTTGTTGTTGCTCAATGTAAGTCACTGAAATCAGTCTTGACTGATGGTGTTGTCCGCAGGCCAGTGTGTTAGTCAACGTCTTTCAAGGGTTCCAGGTTGTGAAAGACATCTTGACTGTTTGCCCCATTGTCTGTCTGTCTTTGGGGGTAACCTGGTGCCCTGAAAACAGCACGTTCATTGACGGATGATTCCCATGTGATTTTCCCCAAAGCTACGAAGATGTGAGTTGGACAGCTTCAGAGCAGGCTCAAGTCGACCCAAGTTGGCACATCCTATCACCGAGTTTTTTTGGCCTTTTTGTTGGTCCAATCATCCGCAAGTCCACGTGCTCAGCTGGAACAGCTCGGGGGGTTCACCTTCTGCATTTGTGGGGCAGGCCAGGGTGAACAGTCTAGCTATATAGCCATCTTCTCAAGCTCATTCCAGCGCACTTGTTTTCTGAAAAAATTGTCTCAGGCTCATGGTGGCCATGTATGTCAAGACACTTCCGAAAGGGAGTACCCTCTCCTGAGAGACCCCCCATATTGAAACGGTCTCCACCGCCGACCAACAATGGGTTCAGCGGTGTTCAAGGTGACCCTCATGGATCGACTAGGGATCTTCATAGATCGACTCATCCTCTGGTGGATCGGAGTCCCCCGCAGAGTCGGTGTTCGGATTCACCAACGAGCGGACCGAGCGCGAGTCGGCGCGGTGTTTTTTTCGAGAAAGGCAGCGCGTTGTGACTCGCGTGACTCGCGACGTGGCCGAGGCTCTTTCGGAAAAAGGCCCAGGTGGATCCTGGGAAGCTCCGGGTTCCTTCTTTGCCATTGGACTTCATGAAGCCGCGTGCGATTGAGCACTTCAACTTGACGTGTCCCGGATGGGTTTGGGTGTCGTGGGGGAACTTGTCCGCGGAATTATCCATCCCAACGTTATGGCTTGGACAGTCCGGGGAGGAATCGAACACCTACAGCACACTTGGACAGACAAAGAATTGCTAAGCCTGTAAGGCTTGCAGCACACTTGTGAGGGCCGAACTGTGGATGAGTCTTTTAATCTGCGACGATCCAGTTTTTGTCGTAGTCAGTGTTCGAGGCGCGAGCGGCGCCTGGGGACTGAGGGCGAGGAATTGCACAGAAGTGCTGTGGGCTGTGTCCGGGTTTGATATGGGTTATATAATTGGTGCGGTTAATTGATATGGGGAACCAGGCAAAAGTGTTCCATATCCTTTTTGGGGGAAGAGAGAAGTCGAAGTCGACTATTTCACATTTGATATATCGGTAGTCGCTAGCAAGTCGATCTGTAGGTGCTTGATGTCGCTCGCATCATCTCCCGGGCATGAACCACACCTTCCAGAGGCACTAGGTCGTGAAGTCAATAGGAGAATCCCTCACAGAGGCACGAGGAGAAAACAACACCCACCGCGACGCGCTTCGAACGCTACCCGGGGCTCCTGGTCTTACTACTAGGAGCAAGGACGCTACTAGGGGCTCCTCGCCTCGCTACTAGGAGCAAGAACGCTACTAGGGGCTCCTGGCCTTACTACTAGGAGTAAGGACGCTAGTAGGGGCTCCTGGCATCGCTACTAGGAGCAAGAACGCTACTAGGGGGGAGTAAGGACGCTACTAGGGGCTCCTGGCATCGCTACTAGGAGCAAGAACGCTACTAGGGGCTCCTGGCCTTACTACTGGGAGTAAGGACGCTACTAGGGGCTCCTGGCATCGCTACTAGGAGCAAGAACGCTACTAGGGGCTCCTGGCCTTACTACATAAGGACGCTACTAGGGGCTCCTGGCATCGCTACTAGGAGCAAGGAC